TTAATGCCATGTTAGACGTCGGGGGGTGTCATTTCAAAAGTAGTATGACATAAAAGTGACATAACTACTGAGCACGCATTTTGTTAATAAGCTGATCCAGCCTGCCTTAAATTCTGTCGTCAAAAGAATCGTATGCCAGAAGTATTCTTTGATGTAAGCCTGGAAACGCCGGCCTACGCTCACACACGTAAGTTCCAGATTTTTCTAAATACAATGCAACATGTTTTTTTTTTTTGTATAACACAATCTGTTATTGATAGTTTTATCTGTTTTTTTTTTCTGTTTCGAAAAAATGCAGAATATTCTAAAACGGATTTAAATATAACGGGAGTCCTACATAAAATAATTCCTTTTTATTCGCTCTATAATTTTTCAGCTCCAACAATTAATGTTTTTAGTCAGTTTGCAAATTTCTATTTCTCGTTTTTATTTTGATATAAACGTTATTTAATTGATTGTCTTTTCATAAATTGGTGCTTGATGTCATTTCTTTCCATTAGTTTAGCTAGTGTATTGTTTCTATTTTGTTGTTCAAGGTTTTGGACACGTTTCTACGTCGGGGAGGGGGGGGGGGAGGGGGGGGGGGGGGGAAGGGCACAGTTAAAATCTGAGATAGGGGAGGACACTTGTTTCAGTGTATATTTCCAATGTAAATTATATCTTTCTTTCTCTGTTGTCCGGCGGGCGAGGTGGATGCGCTTCTGAGGTGGCACTGCCTACCCCCCCCACCCCCAACAGAGAGATGTCTGAAAGAAACTCTGATATTGTTGGAAATGCTGTAACTGAATGTTAAAACCAATGTCTTGTTCCATTCTTCAAATCGTGGTTTCATGTCAATATATTACACAGCCAGCATTGTTGATTAGAAATCCACAATTCTGCTCTCCCTCGACACACAGGGCAGGTGAAGTAGAGTCAATTTCAATTGCAGGGGAGGATATGTGTGGCCATATGCACAAAGAAGTCTTATGATGACAGGGAGGACACATACACTCAGACACTGTATGCATGACTTAGTCAGTGAGGACTTGTGTACTCAGTAGTGCCCCACCTGAGCCAAAGTTGAGATATGATTATCTTGGTGTCTCTGCAATTTTTTATCATCCAAAGACTGAGTATTAACAGGTCAAAACCTAGACCTTGATGTCTTTCTTTTAACTTCTCCGTTTTAGCAAGCACAGAAGATCACACTACAAATCAAATATTTTTAATTGAAATACACATCTCACACTTGTTGTAATCCATGGATGTTGACATAGCTTGTTATCTCTCTGTAGGTTGTAACATGCAAATGGAAGGGGGATGTTTATTTGGGATGTAAGAGTGTAGGTATATAGGGAGTGTAGGAGTGTAGGGAGTGGAGGTGTATTGAATGTATGCATGTATCAAAGTGTATTGGGGGTGTAAGAGTGGAGGTGTATTGGGGGTGTAGGCGTGGAGGTGTAGGCGTGGAGGTGTATTGGGGGTGTATAGAGTAGAGGTGTATTAGGGGTGTATTTGGGGTGTATGGAGTGGAGGTGTATCGGGGGTGTAGAAAGTAGAGGTGTGTATTGGGGGTGTATGGAGTGTAGGTGTATTGGTGTGGTAGGAGTGGAAATGTATAGTATGTATGGAGGTGTATTGGGGGTGTAGGAGTGGGGGTGTATTTAGGGTGTATGGAGTGGAGGTGTATCGGAGGTGTAGAAAGTAGAGGTGTATTGGAGTGTGTAAAAGAAGTGTACTGTATCGTTGCCAATTTTTCAAATTTGCAAGTCTTACCAGAAGCCCACCCCCCGCCCCGCCCACTCCTTTATTTCTAAAACCTGATATTGCTGTTATACAACACCACTTAAAGTTTGAAGGAAACACTTTCAGTTTCTTTTTCCAAGAAAACCTTGCGTATAATCGATAGCGTTAGTGTGCCACACCTGGTTAAAAGCAGCCAAAAGAATATATAGATCAACATTTTAAATCTCCACACCCGATATTGATTTTTCCGGTACTTTCAAATCGGACATGCACACTCGTCATTAAACTAGTTAGTCCCATGTCTACTTCAGCGGTTCCAACATTGTGCGACCCTTGTGGGCGGACACTGTTAAAAGTATATATTTTCTATATAAATTATATAAATTTCATTTCGTTCGGGGGGGGGGGGGGGGGCGGTAAAAAATTTTCGGGGGGGGGGGGGGGGTCAAGCCCCCCCGAAGAGATGCCTGGAAGAAACTCTGCTGGTAGTGTGTCAGTCCGTCATTGCTATAGATTTTGGAACTATGTGGAAGTCTCTCCCTGGGCGCGGACGGTCGGGAAAACGTGGTGTTCGGAGGCGGTTTAGATTACGTCGCGATTTCACGGGTATAGGCGCAGGAATAAAATGATTCGCCGTGGCGGAGCACGGGTATGCAGCTACTTTAGAATAACTCAACCGAGGTACTGGGATCACTTTAAGTGATCTAAACCCGCTGCGCAATTAAAGTTAAATAATCTACAACTAAAATTAAAGTTTTTGAGAGGGGTTACAATTTATTAATTCACAAAGTCTATCAGTGACTTGTGTCATGTTTTTGTTTCAGATGCACATGCATTGATCACGTGAGAGGTGGTGTTTGGTTATTTGCCTGACGCTATGAGCAAGGTAAAGCAAAAAAAAAAAGAGATAAAACCGTAATAATATATATATTGATGACAGTACAAATATAAATTACTTGACGATATTACAGTGGCGTAGCGACGGAAGGGGGGGGGGGGGGGCAGGGGGTACATATGTCCCCGGGCGCCGATCCTAGGGGCGCCAAAATAAGCTCATTTTAGCTGCTATTTGAATTATAAATATAAAAAATATATGGGGGGGGGGGTGCCAAACTGAAAGTTTGTTCCCGGGCGCCGGGAGGGTTCGCTACGCCACTGCGATATTAATATCTTACTAACGAAAGAGTCCTTTAAAAAATCTAACGAATCAACCTGTCAATAGTGATCGTAAAGTAAAAAATGTTATCGGCTGGTGCTTTTTTACTTTCTTGTATACAAAGTATAGAGGAAGTATTGTAAGCGTGCGGTTTTACACCTCCCTGAGTCGGAAAAAGCATATTTTGCAATTTTGTCCGTATGTCCATGCGTGTGTGCATGTGTGTGTGTGTGTGTGTGTCTGTGAATACTTGAGTACCATTACAGCTAGGTTGATGAAATTTCATATATACGTATTATATCAAATTTGTAGATCTGTATCAACTTTTCAGCGATTTCCGCTAACCGGAAGTGGAACTTTTTCTACTTTTAATTTATCAAAATCTATAACTTAAGTACTGTTTCTGATAGATAAATGAAATTTCACAAGTAACTAAAAGATTTAATTCTCTGCCTTCTGTCAAATTTTAAGTAATTTTCGTTGACTGGAAGTAGTAATTTACGCTATTTCCTATTTCTCAAAAAACGAATTTGAGTTTAAAAAGTAGCCTACTAATATTTCGCAATATTATACAGATATTTACTTGGTGCGCAATTCTTTCTTTCTATGAAATTCTATTCTATTTTAAAAAGTTTAAGTAAATTAAAAATGGATTGAAAATCATGTCTATATATTCCGTGTTGCCATTCCCCGCAGTGTTATTTAAGAATATACGAGAAAAATTTAGAGGAGATTGCTCCCGCTTGATTTAGACTAATTTTAGTTTGTGGATTAAACCAGCTATTAAAACGAAACCTCTAGTTGAATGGCGCCCTTTATTTTAAGTGGCGCCCTTTGTGGGATTGGTGACCTCTACTGCAGTCGCCTTAGTGGGGTGGTGTATAGAGACCAGGCTACCATGTAGCAGCCCTCCTTATTTCGACTGGACATTCTTTTCGAATTTTAAAATATTTTCGTATTAAAAGAAATGACTTTTGTTCTTTTTATTGCAGACAAAGAAAAATGTCGATTTCCTTGGAACAACGACAAAAGCGTACAGGTTAGACAAACTAATTCTCTAACTATTTTTCTGTCTGGATTTGCTTCCATTCAAGGCGAATTTGCAAGTCAGCAATTGTTTGATTTTGGAGTTTTTTTCTCATATATATATATATATATATATATATATATATATATATATATATATATATATATATATATATATATATATATATATATATATATATATATTCATATGCAATATAAATAAAACTAAATATGTATCAATACGTTTAACATTAAAAACATGTTCAAATAAAAATAGAGAATTTATCTAAAGGAAAAAAAATAGTGAAAATAGGTTGACCTTCCTGAATTATTAAATATGAAACTAATTTTCCCACTTTTTTTAATCCAGCAAATTCAAAAAACCAGTTACTACACGACGGTAAGTATAGAACTTCTTTTAAAATCCCAAAAACTATCGAAAATAATAAACGAATAAATTTGTAAACAACTTTAATTTATACCACGGTCTTCAAAAAAAAAATAAAAAATAATCGCTTTATCTCCTCTAAACTTTCTCGTATATTTTTGCATGGTTACAATACTTCCTCTATACTCAGTTTACGGGAAAGTAAAAAGGATAATGTGGTAAACATAGATATAAGGACATTTAAAATGGACTAAAGTTTAATGCAAATTTACTTTAAAAATACAGTAATATTAAAAAAACCATGATAAAAAATTCTTCATGTAAAAAACTGAAAAGTTTAGCTAGTGGGGATCAGGGGCCACTACTCAAAAATCAGCATTGTTACGCCTCATAAGCAAGCAGTGAGATGAGACGAGTTAGCGATCTGATCACTGTACTGTACATCTCATAGTGCTATTTCTTGCAAAACCCAGCCTTGAAAACCTCTAAATAAAAGTTAAGTTCCCCTCTCAGACCCAACGATCCATAATGCAGAGGAAGTAGAGTTTATGTGTTTCTTGGACTCTGTATATGAAAGGGTTGTGTGGTTAGCACTATGCCCAGCCGCATTACTTTCCCTAACGTTAGCCGGGTACCACTAGAGCTGCGTTGCATCAGGAACGTCTTAGAGTCCTATTTGTTCCATATCCACACGTGTAAGAGATGATCCAATGTTCCATATCCACACGTGTAAGAGATGATCCAATGTTCCATATCCACACGTATAACAGCTGATCCAATGTTCCATATCCACAAGTGTAAGAGCTGACCCAATGTTCCATATCCACACGTGTAAGAGTTTATCCATGTTCCATATCCACAAGTGTAAGAGCTAATCAAATGTTCCATATCCACAAGTGTAAGAGCTAATCAAATGTTCCATATCCACACGTTTAAGAGTTGATCCTATGTTCCATATCCACAAATGTAAGAGCTAATCAAATGTTCCATATCCACAAATGTAACAGCTGATCCAATGTTCCATATCCACAAGTGTAACAGCTGATCCAATGTTCCATATCCATAAGTGTAAGAGCTGATCCATGTTCCATATCTTACAGGAACCGACTGAACAGCGTCTTCTGGAAGGATGAAGACGGACGTTTTTATAAGGCACAGCTGATGGATCTAGAGGTAGGGGAAATGTTAAGATTTAACACAGAAGGAAAGAAAGGAGGTACTAAATAAAGTATTGATTGACAAAAAAATAATTTGTAGGCCTACACTGTGCTTAAAAGTAATAATTGATTACCAAATCCCGTACTGGTATAAAATAAAGTAAATTCATGAAAAGCCGTGTCGAAGCATGATTTTAGCAGTGGTGGCAACCTGACCCTAACATTGACCTAAAACCTAACCCTAATTACGCCTAACACTCATCAGAGTCATAACTATAATTCAAATGCTACTCCTAAAATCCAAATGCTAATCCTAACAACGATGACGGCAAACAAACATGAGCATGATGCTTGACGGTACGTAAAGCTCCCTCGGAAAAAAAGACTAAAAATGGCTTTTAAGCTTTGTAGTTATTGAGTCAAGGGGGTGAATGGGGGTGAATGTTGTTTGTATTTTGTACCCTGTCCCGTTCGTCCCTATTCAGTCCTTGTGCTGTGAGTTGTGACAACCGGTTTGTTCTTGTTTTCTGTAAGGGTATATAAGGCAAATGAGAGCGTGGGTGATTGCCTCAGTTTCTTCCAGCCCTCCAACAAGGTTTTTGTAGGTTAGTTCATTTAGTCTTGTTTTGTAACGCGCTTGTGGTTGTTTCCTCCTATATGTGCAGTGTTTCTTCTAGAATTTTTTCTCTGGGGGGGGGGGGGGGGGGGGGTGCGGGGCATTTAAATTTTCGAGTGGGCGGACAAAAATTTCCGGGGGGACGGATACTGTTAAAAGTATATATTTTCTATATAAATTTCAATTCTTCAATTCGTTCGAGGGGGGGGGGGGTGAGGCGACACTCCGCCCCCCTCCCCCCGAAGATATGCATGGAAGAAACTCTTGTTGCGTGAAGTACTGGCTCAACCGTATAAGTGTATCCCTGTTCACAACAAGCTTTCTTTAAATAACTTCAAGTACGATTTTTCATTTTCTTCAGATCAAAAGTTGCGACGTCCTAGCGGCATTTCGCTTTGACCAGCCCGAGCTGATCATCACAATGTTCGGCACCGTGGGCGATACGGAGACTCGAACCCACGACCCCGACCTAACTTCCGCCGACAAGACGGAGAAAAGTACACACGCCGATAAGGGTCACGGTGCCAGCGAAGGTCAAGGTTACACTGAAAGTCAGAAGAATGATCTGACCTACCGCAACATTCCAACGGAAGCAGTGTCATACGCAGGTAAATTAGCATATTAAAAAAAAATATTTAAGTGTACACTTTAAAAATACTACAGTACACGAAAGCGTCAGGATAATTCAGTAACTCCGCTTTATTTAAAAAATTAAACAGTTTGTTTTCACCGTGAATTGTGCAAATGTGTATGTTCTTGTTATCTACTTTCTAGGCTGGGGAGGGGTACACATGCTCCAGCCCGCACTTCGGAGAAGATTTATACAACTTCTCCATGAAATAGGTGGGTTTTATAACTTTTCTGACTTACGCTACCTCTCCATAATATTCAATCATATCTACCATCTCTCTAACAATCACCCATCTCTCTAACAATCACCCATCTCTTTAACAATCACCCATCTCTCATCTCTCCAACAATCACCCATCAACCATCTCTCTAACAATCACCCGTCTCTCTTAAAATCTCTCATCTCTCTAACAATCACCCATCTCTTTAACAATCACCCATCTCTCTAACAATCACCCATCTCTCATCTCTCCAACAATCACCCATCAACCATCTCTCTAACAATCACCCGTCTCTCTTAAAATCTCTCATCTCTCCAACAATCACCCATCTCTCCAACAATCACCCATCTCTTTAACAATCACCCATCTCTCCAACAATCACCCATCTCTCATCTCTCTAACAATCACCCATCTCTCCAACACTCGGCCATCTCTCTAACAATCGGCCATCTCTCCAACAATCACCCATCTCTCTAACAATCACCCATCTCTCTAACAATCACCCATCTCTCATCTCTCCAACAATCACCCATCTCTCTAACAATCACCCATCTCTCTAACAATCACCCATCTCTCTAACAATCACCCATCTCTCATCTCTCCAACAATCACCCATCTCTTTAACAATCACCCATCTCTCTAACAATCACCCATCTCTCATCTCTCCAACAATCACCCATCTCTCTAACAATCACCCATCTCTCTAACAATCGTCCATCTCTCCAACAATCACCCATCTCTCCAACAATCACCCATCTCTCATCTCTCCAACAATCACCCATCTCTCTAACAATCACCCATCTCTCTAACAATCACCCATCTCTCATCTCTCCAACAATCACCCATCTCTCTAACAATCACCCATCTCTCTAACAATCACCCATCTCTCTAACAATCACCCATCTCTCATCTCTCCAACAATCACCCATCTCTCTAACAATCACCCATCTCTCTAACAATCACCCATCTCTCTAACAATCACCCATCTCTCTAACAATCACCCATCTCTCATCTCTCTAACAATCACCCATCTCTCATCTCTCCAACAATCACCCATCCCTCCAACAATCACCCATCTCTCTAACAATCACCCATCTCTCTAACAATCCTCCATCTCTCCAACAATCACCCATCTCTCCAACAATCACCCATCTCTCCAACAATCACCCATCTCTCATCTCTCCAACAATCACCCATCTCTCTAACAATCACCCATCTCTCTAACAATCCTCCATCTCTCCAACAATCACCCATCTCTCCAACAATCACCCATCTCTCCAACAATCACCCATCTCTCATCTCTCCAACAATCACCCATCTCTCTAACAATCACCCATCTCTCTAACAATCACCCATCTCTCTAACAATCACCCATCTCTCATCTCTCCAACAATCACCCATCTCTCATCTCTCCAACAATCACCCATCTCTCTAACAATCACCCATCTCTCTAACAATCACCCATCTCTCTAACAATCACCCATCTCTCTAACAATCACCCATCTCTCATCTCTCTAACAATCACCCATCTCTCATCTCTCCAACAATCACCCATCTCTCCAACAATCACCCATCTCTCTAACAATCACCCATCTCTCATCTCTCTAACAATCACCCATCTCTCTAACAATCACCCATCTCTCCAACAATCACCCATCTCTCTAACAATCACCATCTCTCCAACAATCACCCATCTCCAAGAATCACCCATCTCTCCAACAATCACCATCTCTCCAACAATCACCCATCTCTCTAACAATCACCCATCTCCAACAATCACCCATCTCCAACAATCACCCATCTCCAACAATCACCCATCTCCAACAATCACCCATCTCTCATCTACTGTTTAAAGGTGCGTGGATGCTGAGTGAGCACAGCGGCAAATTTATCCTTGAAAGTTCCAACCAGCCATTCCCTGACGATATCACTGAGAATTATAATCACTTTGAAGAGGTAAATTTAAATAAAAAAAGTAAAGTTCCCTTTACAAGCCTGACGGTCTATAGGGCAAGTAAAGTAGAGTTCACTTATTTCTGTGACCTCGGCATATGAAGAGATAGTGTGGTCAGCACAATGCCCAGCCGCTTTTACTTTTTCTAACGTGCGTTAGGTAGGCCTACTTATCAGAGTCGGGTGGACTCAAGGACGGTCTATTGACTTGAACCCGGATTCGAACTCGAGACTTACGGGTTAGCAGTCCAGCTCTCTATCGCTAGACCACTCCGTCCCCAAATTAAAGTATTACGACATAAAAAATGCAAAACAAACAAAATAAAAAAATATTTTCAAACTAATGTTAATTAATTTCTTTGCCGCTTATGATTAATAGCTGATTATGATTAATAGCTCTTCCTAAACGCGTACACTGTCCATTCCAACATTAACTAGCCTGAGATATAAAATATATAATTTTAAATGGAATACTTTTTAAAACCTTTTTAGGACAAATTTTTCTGGCCACCTGATATTACCTACAGTAGCGTGTGGTTTCAGGGACGAGGCATGAAATCCATTGTTAACGGTAAGCGGTAAATAGAACCTTTTTTTATCTAGGTTAGTGATATTTTTCAACCAGGAAAAGGTGTCGCCTTATAATAATTTTAAAAAATGTTGCATTACCTTATTAAAAAAAAACTAAATTGCTGATGTCTTTTGAGCAAAAATGTAAACAAAAAAATAAATAATAAACAGAGCGTACGATATACAGAAAAAGAATTAGAGGTAATCTAAAACTGTCCCAGACCCCCCCCCCCCCCCCGCCCAAAGAAATGCATTTAATAATTTTATAATTAAATTTTGAGTTGACAAGGTTGTGTTGAAGCGGGTGTTAGTGTGGCTTTTGTCTCTGTAACCAGTGCGTGCGTGCGTGTGTGTGTGTGTGTGTGTGTTTGTGTGTGTGTGCGTGTGTGTGTGTGTGCGTGTGTGTGTGCGTGTGTGTGTGTGTTGATTGTGAATGTACACCAATGTTTAACATTTTAAAACGGCATCACTTGACAAACAATTGCATTTATGTGGCAGGAGAGGCATCAAAGGGCGACTACTGACAAATTATTTTTTCAGATTTACGATGCACCGAGTGCGTCTTCATTGCCCGTGGGGACGACAAGACACTGGAGAAAATTGACGAGTACATAAAAAACACGACGAAACACATGCTCATCATCAAGGTAAGATATAAGGATAATATGTTCATGGACAGTATGGTCTGACGGTAGAGCGCACGACTGTTTTCCACCAGGTCCGAACGGTTACTTTATTACTTACTATTTCTTGAAATCGACAAACTAGCTCTATAGTTTTTTCAGTTTTTACTTTTCCATTTATTTGATACGAGCTGACCCGCGACGTAGCATACGTCGCTATCTAGTTGTTTTCTACTTATCAATAATTAATAATTTGTGAATTTAACACTACCCCCCTACCCCCCCCCCCACCCCACCCCGCCCAGTAAAAGCAGCCGTTTACAGACGACAGTAAAAATATCAAGCAGAACTTATTATCTCCCCTTAGTTTCAAATCGTTTAAAAACTAAATTATCTGGCCCTAATACCCGTCACTTATTCGAACCGGCTCTACTGTTGTAAACATTCGGAGTGAACCATAGCTCACCTGACAGGTGGGGATGAGGGTGGTGGCTAAGCTGCGTGGTGTCTCGTAAGGTCCCCATGAAGAGAATTATATTATATAGAAGATACCCCCGTAGACTAAACGCCTCTTGTGTTTATTTAGTACAAATCTTGTTCACCAGCTCACTATTTAGTCTTGTATTTTGTAACCATATAATTTTTCAATTTAGGGCTCTGGTGGTTTAGCGGATGTCCTCGCATTCTTAATTGAAGAGAATGTTGAAAACATGTAAGTTTTGATAGTAAATTTGATGCCCATTAAAAATACGTAATCATCGATTAGAGGCCTACTCATCTTGTGAAACACCTTTTATTATCATTTTCGAAAAAAAAAAAACCTTTTTTTAGTTTATGTAAAGCGTAATTAGAAAACAATTTTAATTTTTTGGTATATATTTTAAAAAATCGATCGTTTAACAATTAGTATAAACATCAAAAGTATCGTAAAAACCTTTTATTTATAAAAATCTTTATTTTTAGTTCTTAAGTTGTTTTTTTTTTCTTTTAATTTTTTTTTCTTTACTGCGAATACTTTAGAAATATTACTTTACATGTTCGGAAGAACGTGATAAACTTTAATCATTTGTAGTAGTACGTAGACAGTACGTGGAAGACAGTACAGTTTGTCTACCTTGGCAGCAAGATCAGCAAAACGGGAGGCACAGAGGAGGACATACGCGCTAGAATTAATAGAGCCCACTGCGCTTTCTCAGTTCTGCGACCCATATGGAAAAGTTCTGCCATCTCCATTACCACAAAAATTAGGATAAAATCTCAAGGCAGTTCTGTTGTATGGAGCAGAGACATGGAGAGTCTCTAAAGCAAGCACAGAGAAGATACAGACCTTCATGAACAGATGCCTTAGATTTTGAAACTGAGATGGCAGGACAGTGCCGAACATAGAATTGTGGAGGAAAGCTAGGCAGGAGCCTTTGGGTATGCAAATAAGAAGGAGGAAGTGGCGCTGGGTGGGTCAGACACTGCGAAAGGCTCACCCAAATGTGACACGCCAAGCGCTTGAGTGGAACCCCCAGGAAAAGCAACAGGGATGTCTTGGGAGATGACAAAATGAATAGCCGGGGATCGGATGAAATGGAAGGAAATGTTTGAGGCCCTATGTTCCATAAGGAGCAGAGAGGACTAAGTCAAGACAGCACTTAAATGAAAATAATTTCTTTCAAGCAGGTTCTTTCCCTGAATGCAACTTAAGCGAATCTTGATCCGTTTCTTACTTTCTCGTATATACGAAGTATAGAGAAAGTCTTGTAATCGTGCAAAAATAAACCGGGAGTGATGTCCCCAAAACTTTCTCGAAAATTCTAATATAACAACGGGGAATGGCAACTCGGGATATAGAAAATATTTTTAATCCAATTTTAATTACTTAAACTTTTTTATAATAGAATAGAATCTTGTAAAAAAAAGAATTACACACCAAGTGAACGCCAAATAAAATGTGCATAATAGTGCGGGATATTATTAGTACTTTATAAATTCACATGCGTTTTTTTGAGAAATCGGAAATAGCGTAAATTACTACTTCCGGTCGACAGAAATTACTCAAAATTTGATAGAAGGCATAGAATTAGAACTTTTACTTACATGTGAAATTTCAAATATCTATCTGAAATAATACTCAAGAAATAGGCTTTTAAAAATTCAAAGTAGAAAAAGTTCCATTTCCGGTTATCGGAAATCGCTCAAAAGTTGATACGGATCTACGATTTTGATATAATACTTATATATGAAATTTCATCAACCTAGCTGTAACGGCACTCAAGTTATCGTGTTTACACACGGACACACAGACAACGGACAGAATTGCTAAGTCCAGTTTTTGCGACTCGATAACGCATAAAACGCCAAACTGTTTATATATTTGTATTTATAATGTTTGCCTGATTAAAATAAGTCCTCTATACTCCGGATGTGATGAAGGACTGAGGAGTAAAACGGTGAAAACTGTCAAAATTTAATGTTATTTTTGTGCACTATGACAATACTTTCTCTATACTTCATATATACGAGAAAGTAAAAATAAAAATTAAATAAAAAATACATTATTTTTTTTGACCAAAACATTTATTATGGTGCTAGTGTTCAAAAATAATTTCCAAACCACACTCCCTATGTGTCTTTAGCAGTTATCCGCCATGAAGGGTTGATATGAAAACTATCTGGTCATTTTCTTGAATTTCATATTCCAGTTCACCAAGTAACTCCCAGTCTGCGTCATTCACTAATACAAGAATCCCTGGCCTCACTGTATTTCCCTGCATAAACAGTTCAGGTCTTTCTTGAATAATGTTGTCTTTGAACCACAATAACAGATTTTTTATTTGCCATTTACTATCTTGTTTGGGCAAATGAATATCATGCTTTTTAATATTTCCACACAGTAATTCAGCACCACCACTGAATTCTACTGATAAAGATAGTGACATTATCTAACAGTAAATTTACTTTCTATTTTTAAATATATTATAAATATCTAGTGGTAAAATCATAATAGATCTTATAAAATTAACACAGAGCTCGGTTAGATAGAATGTAGATCTAGACTAGATCTAGATCTAAATCTAGAAAATCTAACTCATTACTAGAACAGGGTTTATTTTTTGTAAAATACTTTTTAAAAATGTTATCACTCGTAGAGCATACACTCTGAACGATGATTAAGGAAACAACTGTAGAATTTGTTTTAGATTAAAGATTTTAAAAACATTGCGTTTCACAATTAGAATAAAAGTATTTAAAAATTTACCACCCACAGCTTCTAATTAATTTACATGTTTGCGTTTAGTAACGTAAAAGAAATATTTGCTACAATCTATGTGTTGGATTACATGTAAAAACTATTATAATTAACATTCACAGCCCTTAACACTCAAATAGGCAACGCCGATTACATTTTCCTTTTAACATGGATTAGAATTATCGCCCTTTATTTTATAAATTACTTCACACCAATTATGCATCCGAGCTGCGGTTCAAATTTTTACATATTAAACTATTATATTTTTGTTTTTAAATACAAGTTAGTTCTATTTTTAGATTTTCAAATACGTTTTTACAATCTGTTTACGTCTAATGAAGGGAAGCTCAGGAGATTTTTTCGTACATAAACTCGAACCTGAAGGATGGGGAAGAAATGGAGGGTCAAGAATCTTTGTCCCCACCCTCAAGTAACGGCAACAAAGACACAACATCCCAAACACGGAAAAAGTTTGCCGAGACGGTGAAGCGGATTTGCAAACAGTGTACGGTCTTCGAGCCTGACCTCTCTCTGCCGGATTACGGCCTGAGCAAATCCATCCTTCAGATTTGTTTCAAAAGTAGGTGCCGCACTAAGCCATTAGTCTGGCTATCTAATCCATATTAAATCCATTAACCTTGCTGGCTATCTAATCCATTAGCCAAATTTAATCCATTAGCCGTGCTGGCTATCTAATCCATTAGCCATACTGGTTATCTAAACTATTAGCCGTACCAGCTATGTAATCCATTAGCCGTGCTGGCTATCTAATCCATTGGCTGTGTTGGCTATTTAATCCATTAGCCATATTTAATCCATTAGCCGTGCTGGTTTTCTAATCCATTAGCCATATTTGATCCATTAGCAGTGCTGGCTATCTAATCCATTGGCTGTGTTGGCTATCTAATCCATTAGCCATATTTGATCCATTAGCCGTGCTGGCTATCTAATCCATTGGCTGTGTTGGCTATTTAATCCATTAGCCATATTTAATCCATTAGCCGTGCTGGTTTTCTAATCCATTAGCCATATTTGATCCATTAGCAGTGCTGGCTATCTAATCCATTGGCCGTGTTGGCTATCTAATCCAACTAAATCGCCGATGGATATCTTCAGTACTTAAACTAGATATACCTCAAACTCTAAACTTTACCTAGCACTAAAACTACAGCTCAAATTCTAAAGTCTACCTAAACTGAAACTAGATATAGCTCAAATTCTAAACTTAACCCAACACTAACCACAGTCCTATCCCTTCGCCCTCATCCCTCTACCCTAGATTCCGGTAAAAGAAACCCAGAGATACTCAAGCTTTGTGTTGATTTAAACTGTTTGGAAGAAGCGGAAAAACAGATTTTTCTACCAGACTACAAAGTAAGCTCAATGTATCGTATTCTAATTAAACTAATCGTCAATGTGTATTAATTAATGCATTTTCACCCCGTCAGTATTAGGGTTATATAGCGAGTGTTTAAGAATCCATTTAAAATAAAACACATCTTACCTATGCAATATATTTTACAATTATTTTTCCATATTCAACACAAACAATTCTAGAACCTAAAATTAGAAGTGAACTTACCTTAAACCCAAACATGTAATGTACACTGTTTAGGGGGAGGATTGTGTGTTTGTGTTGAGAACAGCCTTCTCGCGAGGCAAGGTGGACTTTATCAAAGCTTTCTTGATGAATGGAGACTTCAAAGCTATTTCTAATGAGGTAACAGTTATACAGTGTACCACCATTTTTTTTTTACTAAAATGTTTTTTTATTTCAATTGTTAATTGTAGACAAATAGCCGTATTATTAAACAACCCACCTTTATAATGTTGTACTCCAAAGGGGCTTGTAAGTCTCAGTCTCAAAATCTCGTTAAAATAATTGTTTTGAACATGATTCCCATTGATAGATCTACTAAAAAACATGGCGGCTATTTGTTTCTAGGCCTCCTTTCAAGATTTTGAAATACCAAGAGTTCATAAAGTGCTACAAATGTGTACTAATAATAGAAGCAAATGAAGTACCGGTAGGCCTATGCCATTAATATAATATTAATATCGTAAATACGTTAAGGATAACTTGTTACCGATTAGAATAAATAATAACAAACTGTACGCTTCTTTAAAAAAAATACCAGCCTAACGTAAGTTATATTTTTCTTTAAGCTAGCCCACATATTGCACTCTATAATTATCATTGTTTACGATTTTAATTAACTTAACAAATACGGAGGTAGCTTTTCTATATTTTTTTTATTACCGATTAAATAATAATATTCACATTTGGTTTGAAAAATACTAGCTGGCAGAAAAGAGAGCGATTATTTGGTGACCTACTTACAAGCCCTATTTGGTGACCTACTTACAAGCCATATTTGGTGACCTACTTACAAGCCATATTTGGTGACCTACTTACAAGCCATATTTGGTGACCTACTTACAAGCCCTATTTATCTCAAATGTTTAGGTACCCATTAAAATGATATTTTTTCCATCAAGGAATTTGTTAAGATGAATATCATGTCAGACTCGCGGGATATGCACTTCGATAAAACCTACACAGGTATCTTATGGAATGCTGAGGCACTTTCAAACACAGGTAAAACACAATTTGCTTTTTTTTCCCACAAATCAAACATTTCGTTTTCTTTTTTCTCTTTATAATAATAATTGCAATTTTTTCGGATTTTAATTTACAAAACTGTCTTATATTAATTATCAAATAATACATTTTAATTCATTATAGCTTTAAATTTCTTCTTAATAAACATGAACGCAAAAGGGAGTTGATATGTGTTGTTAGATTGTTTCCATTACAATCGTATTTATTTAGATACGTGTAACATTATGGACCATCTGTTTAGACAAGCTTTGGTTCTCAAGAAATTTGAAATGTCGTTTCTCTTTTGGATAAAAACTTCGGTAAGATTTTTTAAAAATTGTAAATTGTGTATTTGAGATTACGTATGCGATAAGATCTACAGTTTTTAAAGATTACACGTTGAACGAGAATGATATGACTAAAAGTAAGACATTTTTTTGTATTAAATGTTTTAAAGTAAACAATGTAAAGTTCACTTTATGAACCTGGCGGGTCTCCTCTAGCGCATGCCCTACTGGCTACAGATATCTGTTTCTTTAGTCTCATCTAGCCCATATGTTGACCTACAGATATCTATTTGTTCAGGCCCCTCTAGCTCATGCCCTACTGGCCTACAGATATCTGTTTGTTTAGTCCCCTCTAGCGCATGTTGGCCTACAGATATCTGTTTGTTTAGTCCCCTCTAGCGCATGCCCTGCTGGCCTACAGATATTTGACGAAAATCTCAGAGCCTGTGAGAAATATCGTGCAGAAAAAGGAGATAGAGGACGCTGCTTAGTAAGTCAATTCGATATTCGACTTTATATATTTAACGTGATACCTAAAAATGTGGTGTCCATAAATGGATACACGTTAAATTAGATTTTGTTCTAGAATATATATCTCTTGGATTAATGTTTTTTAAACTCTGTTTACAATCTTTTAGCTAGTTTGCTTATATTTTTCTCTGTATCGATTTTACTTATCGTAGTAGATCTATTCTTGGTCCTCTCGATTCTTACCGATTGGATTCATATTAAATTAGCACGACGATTGATCATAAAATTAGTTTTTAAACCAAGGCGGTGAAACAATCGTCTCTATTTAGTAAAAATAATATGTTTTAGCTCAGTTGTTTAAAACATAAAGGTTAAATTAAATAAAAGTATACACTTTATTAAAAAGATGTATTTTCGTTTAAAAATTGACTTTTAAAATAGTAAATACCAAGATATGGCAGTGGAACTGATCAACGCCTGCTACGTGGAAAACCCTGACCTAACAGCCAACATCCTGGCTCACAAAAGGAAAATGTTGTTCAACAATTCCTGCATTGAGTACGCCCTCATCTCTCGCAACGGGAAGTTCCTGATGCAGCCTGCCTGCACCAACCAACAGAAGCGCTACTGGGACTGGGGCATCTACTGGGAGTTCTACGACGAAATCTCCAACGATTACAGAAACGTCGAGACCATCGTTGCGGAAAAGCCCGTTGTTACGGGAAAACCCGATTCATCAGAAAAGTCTCCAAAAGGTGAACAAGTTTTGATCCGGGAAAAATCCTCCGTCCCAGATAACAAAAAGCATTTAGAAAAATCTGAAAGTTCTCACATTGTAAGTATTAGTTTGTGAAAACCTTGTAGAGGAGGGGGGTGAGGTGTCAAGCTACCCCTACCCAAATGTGTACATGTGTATCTCTATGTTTTATGGCAGCCAGAGGCGTAGCGACCCTTCCCGGCGCCCGGGTACAAACTTTCTATTTGGCGCCCCCCTCAGGAGCAAATTTTCGATTTGCACCCCCCCTCAACTTTTCGATTTGCACCCCCCCCCCCTCCTCAAACTGCAAAAAACTGCAGCTAAATTGACATTTTAATTGTTTTTACAACCCATTTTGGCGCCCCCTGAGGTCGGCGCCCGGGGACATATGTCCCCCCCTGCCCTCCCCCCCATCGCTACGCCTCTGATGGCAGCCCATCTCCAGACAAGGCTATGACCAGCCAAGAAAACTGTCGAAAGTATTTGCTCAAAGGTTGATTTGTCCATAAGACACAAACCTAACCCCCCCCCCCAATCATCTAGACAAAAACTTATCTCCAGATTTGGGAGTTTTGAAAACATACATGCAAGTTGAACACGTTAGATTGTGGTTGAAGTTTATTCACTATCATCTAGCTTAATATTCAGTGTACCCAACAACCGCTTTAAAAAATCATCTCTTGAAACCAGATACAAATCTAAACCACATGCTTTGCCCAGTGTGATTATGTATGCATTTTAAAAACATTTTTCTGTTTCAAAATACAAGTATAAATATTTTGTTTAAATAATTACAAATACATCATTAAATGATTCTAATAATTTTGTTACACTTAAACGCACATGCAATTTTTTAAAGTTACATTTACTTATAGATATGAATAGTTTTCTACACATATTTTATTCTATAGGAATGGCATAATGATTCACTTAAAGGCGTAATGAAAAATATGTGAGTTCTTTTTTTTTTAATATAGTGTGCATCATTCCATCAGTTTTAAATTACTTTCAATTACTCATACAATTAATCTTGTCCATGTTATAACATGTGTATGATTTGTTTAATTACTTTGAAAGTCAAAAGTTGTCAATGTTCTAAGATATATAATTTGTTTCATTACTTTGACAGTCACAAGTACTATGTCCTGCTCTGTCCTCCAAAAGTCATGTTCTCATTGAATGGGGTGAGTCAGTCTCTCTCTCTGTCTTAATTTCATCTGTTTCATTGTTCGTGTGTCTTGAATTGTCTCATGTGTCTCACTTTTGCCCGTCTCACGTTTCGTGTGTCTTGTATTTAAAGACGCAGCCTTGAAATACCAAAAAAAAAAACGCTAAGCTAAAATTGAAACATGTTGAACAACAGCCAAAATTGATTTGTGAACTATTGAGCTTGCAGGAACTTGATTTTGATAGATTCTATTTTTCGCAAAGTATATTTTAACAGTGATATAAAGAATTTTTCCCTTCTGCAAACATTTAAATACTCAACTTTTTATGTAATAATTGCAAAAAAAAAAAAAAAAAAAAAAAAAAAAAAAAAAAAAAAAAACAAAGTTCGCATTTAGGAACCTAACGATTCAAATTGCAGATGAAATAGAGTTTATCTTTCTATGCACCGCAACTTTTGACATTGTGGTCTGCACTATGCCCAACCGCCTTTTTACTTTCCGTAAAGTGATCAGGCACCTATTGGATTAGCAGTCGAGCGCTCGATCAACCGACTCCCCCCCCCCCCCCACACACATTTTTGTTCTTTAACGATTGTTTTCATTTTTTTTTATTTTCTTAATTCGCTTGGCTGGTGAATTATTTAAATGCATGTCCATTTATGTACGTAATAAAACACATAAGTATTAACATATATTTACATAATTACAGATCGGACTTCTGATTTTTCTGTACATATTCGGACAACTACTGCTCGGGCAACTTTCCCGGACAAAAATTACCTGGTCCGAGTATTACCTTCTGGTGTATGTTGTGCTTGAGTTAATGGAGGAGCTCTATGAAGTAAGCACGTCTGTTTCTAAGAACGCTTTCACGTTGCTAAGTAAACGCAAATATCAGTAGAACCCCTAAAATTAGGTTTTTTGAAATAAAGTTTTAAGAAATGGATTGGGTAAAACTTCGGTTTTATAAGATACGTTTCGTTTTAAAGTTGTATTTAATGTTCATTATTAATTATAACTATTGTGATGTTTTACACTTTCTGACATTGTAATTCAACTGGCTAAACATACTTTAATAAGATCTAAAGTGTACATATTTATCTCAATAGTGAAATATATCCTATTATTTATAGTAACACAATGTCTTTTCTTTTCCCCATTTATGTGCATAGCTATTCTTCCTCAATCAAAGGATAGGAAAAGATGTAAGACTTTATTTACGATTGTTTAATGAATAGTTTGGCTTGGTATACAATGTTTTCTTTAACCATCTATAGATATAAAGTAGCAAAAACTAAAGACCTACACACCATGTTTTATCTAACCATCTAAATGTATAAAGTAGCAAAGACTAAAGACTGCTAACACATCATGTTTTCTCTAACCAACAAAATGTATAAAGTAGCAAAAACTAAAGACTGCTTACATATCATGTTTTCTCTAACCAACTAAATGTATAAAATAGCAAAAACTAAAGACCTACACATCATGTTTTCTCTAACCAACAAAATGTATAAAGTAGCAAAAACTAAAGACTGCTTACATATCATGTTTTCTCTAACCAACAAAATGTATAAAATAGCAAAAACTAAAGACTGCTAACACATCATATTTTCTCTAACCAACTAAATGTATAAAATAGCAAAGACTAAAGACTGCTAACACATCATGTTTTCTCTAACCAACTAAATGTATAAAATAGCAAAGACTAAAGACTGCTAACACATCATGTTTTCTCTAACCAACTAAATGTATAAAATAGCAAAGACTAAAGACTGCTAACACATCATGTTTTCTCTAACCAACTAAATGTATAAAATAGCAAAGACTAAAGACTACTTACATATCTCTAACCAACTAAATGTATAAAGTAGCAAAGACTAAAGACTGCTTACACATCAAGTTTTCGTCTTTATTTTTCAGCTGCCCCCCTCAGAGATGACCTTACGCAAGAGAGTGAGTTGTCGTATCTTGCTTAAACAAATCTGTTCAACTAGGGCTATTAATCATGGACTATTCAATTGCGCAGTTTATATATATATATATATATATATATATATATATATATATATATATATATATATATATATATATATATGAATATATATAAACATAGAAGGCTCTGAAATATGTGACTGCCAACTAGAAAAAAAAACACATACTATAACCCAAACAAAAGAGAATTGTATTACTGACCGCCCTCTTTGTCTAGATGTGGAGAAGGTTGTCCAATTACCTGACCAGTGGCTGGAATGTCGTGGACTACCTCTCGATATTTCTCTTCGTCATTGGCGGATGTCTGCGCATGTACGCGTATTTCCAGTCGGCTGGTGAGCTGTTACTTCCTGTTTAGTCCCTTTTTAAAAACAATAACTTTTTTTACGAACTCCAAATAAATTACTCCAATTGTGTTTTAAAAAATTTCATGGAACAAGCTAGTACCAAACTAGAGGTCTAAGCCTTTAGTTTGACGTGTTATCCATTCGACCAAGCTCCCTTTTCTTTTTTCTAAATGCTTTAACAAAATGAATACCGTGTTAAAAATATGGCAATTGTCTTAAGTTTAATTAATCTTAAAAAGGATACTGTATGCTAGTGGTAAAATAAAATCTACTATATATTTTTACAGAAGGATGATTTTGAATTCTCTTTGAAGAAATAATTTTTACAGACTTACGGCATAAGAAAAATAAATAAATAAAATAGTTTGGAAACTATTGCTTAAGACGGTGCATTTATGTTTTTAAAAAGTGCTGAAAGTGTTGTTTTTTGCTAAATTCTCCTATAATTGTGTTGGCTTTCAATTTTCATTTATTTGAAGAAAAAATATTATTCAGATAATAGAATTCACGTTACATTTAGTGAAAATTCTTTTAGTTTATTATCAATGTAAAAAAAAAAATTTCTTACAAGAAAATAAATAAACGTTCGCTTTGGGCATATTCCCGAGACGTACATCTGTATTAATGAATGAGTTTCTAATAATCTATTTAACATTGTGTAATCAGAAACGTGTCATTAAATCCAGTGGCGTAGCGAGGTCGGGAGTTACCCGCTGAGGCACTTAATGGTGTCACCCCCCAGAGGCGTAGCGACCCTTCCCGGGGACAAATTTTCAAGTTTTCGATTTGCACCCCCCCTCAAGTTTTTCTCTATATATTTTGCTATTTTTTGCCTTGGTGTCACCCCCCTAAATGGTGTCACCCGGTGCGGTCCGCACCCCCCGCCCCCCCCCCCCCACTCGCTACGCCCCTGATTGAATCACTGACAACCCACTGACTATCTAACCTGCACCAACTAACGTGTTACCCCTATAGAAACAGAAATCTACGAGTACGCCCGAGTTGCTCTATGCCTGGACTTCATCGTCTTCACAGTCCGCATGTTGCACAACTGCTACGCCAGCTCCTACCTCGGCCCTACTTTTGTCATGATACTGGAAATCGTAAGCCCTCTTCTTTTTTTGTTTTTTCCCACGTTTTCTTTAACTTGCTTTCTCTGTGTGTTTATTTGTTTGTCTTTCCAATCAAATCTTGCGATCGAAATTTCTGGCACTTCCCAGTTAGCTAGCGCGCTGAAATTTTCAGGGAAGCTTTCTTTTGGATGACCATTGAATATTCAATTGTTATTATTACTAAATTGATCAATGGAAACATTTTATTGAGCATTTTAGACCGCTATATAATCTATATATATAATTCTCCTCTGCTAGCCATTACAAAAAAAACCAGCGACGCGTACCTCGCGCGCAGTGAAGCGAACGATCACATGTCGCCACAGGCTTAGGGGCAGAGAATTTAGCTTGAACCGAGTTTAAACTTACAGGAGGTAGGCCAGTTTGGGGGAGACGATATGGTCGAGTGGTTGGGCACACGATTGCTATCCCACTCGACACGGGTTCAAATCTATGTGTTCTAGTCAGTAACGTATTCAAACAACGTGTTTTTTACGAGTTGTCTTTTTACGAGTTGTCTTTTTACGAGTTGTCTTTTTACGAGTTGTCTTCGTTTACCCAAAAAAAGTGAAAAGATAAAATCGATAGCAAGATTTTAATGCAAACAAACAGACAAAGACTAAAAAGTAGAAAATAATAATCATTAAAAAAGTCTTAAAAAACCCACGTTTTCTGATTGAACTAAAAAGTAGAAAATAAATGCTATAGGCCCTACATCACAATAATGCAAGCGATCACTCTACTATAAGCGAGCAAAAACGTGGGGCGCCGTGATTTTCTTACAGTTTCTAATACTGTTGACTCTCTACAAGCTCCCTAATAAAAGTCAATAGTATTATCTAATCAATAGTAATATAACTTTTACTTCGGCGCCCCACGTTTTTGATCGCTTATAGTAGAGTGATCGCTTGCATTATTGTGATGTAGGGCCTATAGCATTTATTTTCTACTTTTTAGTTCAATCAGAAAACGTGGGTTTTTTAAAACTTTTTTAATGATTATTATATTGTTTTTATTTTTATTAGCCGTTCTGGCTAGGCTTCGCTCTGTCTCTTATTTATAATTGTAACATATATTTTAATAATATTAAAAAAATACTAAATTCACTTTCCACACATAGAATTTGCTCATGAAAATTGTAGAACAAAATAAAATACAATATTTTATTATTAGTTTAATAAGTATAAGCTAATTTCTTATTATTAAGAAAGGCAGTTTCCACCAAACTTTGGGAGATTATTTTACCGTTATTGTTAAGATACACTAAAATACCCATATTTCTGTTCTATTTGAAATATGGCATACTTATTTTTAATTTGGGAATAGGTAGCAGAGTGTATTCAATCCTCAGGTGACAAAACTAGTCCCAGTTCCTGTACAGTTTACTAAATCCTCAGGTTACTGAACTAGTCCTGTACTTGTAAATTTTACTAAATCCTCAGGTGACAAAACTAGTCCCAGTTCCTGTACATTTTACTAAATCCTCAGGTTACTGAACTAGTCCTGTACTTGTAAATTTTACTAAATCCTCAGGTGACAAAACTAGTCACAGTTCCTGTACATTTTACTAAATCCTCAGGTTACTGAACTAGTCCTGTACTTGTATATTTGACTAAATCCTCAGGTAACTGAACTAGTCCAGTTCCTGTACAGTTTACAAAATCCTCACGTGGCTGAACTAGCCCTGTACTTGTACATTTGACTAAATCCTCAGGTAACTGAACTAGTCCTGTACTTGTATATTTGACTAAATCCTCAGGTGACTGAACTAGTCCAGTTCCTGTACATTTTACTAAATCCTCAGGTGACTGAACTAGTCCAGTTCCTGTACATTTTACTAAATCCTCAGGTAACTGAACTAGTCCAGTTCCTGTACAGTTTACTAAATCCTCAGGTGACTGAACTAGTCCAGTTCCTGTACAGTTTACTAAATCCTCAGGTAACTGAACTAGTCCAGTTCCTGTACATTTGACTAAATCCTCAGGTGACTGAACTAGTCCAGTTCCTGTAAATTTTACTAAATCCTCAGGTGACTGAACTAGTCCAGTTCCTGTACAGTTTACTAAATCCTCAGGTAACTGAACTAGTCCAGTTCCTGTACAGTTTACTAAATCCTCAGGTAACTGAACTAGTCCAGTTCCTGTACATTTGACTAAATCCTCAGGTGACTGAACTAGTCCAGTTCCTGTAAATTTTACTAAATCCTCAGGTGACAAAACTAGTCCAGTTCCTGTAAATTTTACTAAATCCTCAGGTGACTGAACTAGTCCAGTTCCTGTACAGTTTACTAAATCCTCAGGTAACTGAACTAGTCCAGTTCCTGTACATTTTACTAAATCCTCAGGTAACTGAACTAGTCCAGTTCCTGTACAGTTTACTAAATCCTCAGGTAACTGAACTAGTCCAGTTCCTGTACATTTTACTAAATCCTCAGGTAACTGAACTAGTCCAGTTCCTGTACAGTTTACTAAATCCTCAGGTAACTGAACTAGTCCAGTTCCTGTACATTTTACTAAATCCTCAGGTAACTGAACTAGTCCAGTTCCTGTACAGTTTACTAAATCCTCAGGTAACTGAACTAGTCCAGTTCCTGTACATTTGACTAAATCCTCAGGTAACTGAACTAGTCCAGTTCCTGTACATTTTACTAAATCCTCAGGTGACTGAACTAGTCCAGTTCCTGTACAGTTTACTAAATCCTCAGGTAACTGAACTAGTCCAGTTCCTGTACATTTTACTAAATCCTCAGGTGACTGAACTAGTCCAGTTCCTGTACAGTTTACTAAATCCTCAGGTAACTGAACTAGTCCAGTTCCTGTACATTTTACTAAATCCTCAGGTGACTGAACTAGTCCAGTTCCTGTACAGTTTACTAAATCCTCAGGTGACTGAACTAGTCCAGTTCCTGTACAGTTTACTAAATCCTCAGGTAACTGAACTAGTCCAGTTCCTGTACAGTTTACTAAATCCTCAGGTGACTGAACTAGTCCAGTTCCTGTACAGTTTACTAAATCCTCAGGTGACTGAACTAGTCCAGTTCCTGTACAGTTTACTAAATCCTCAGGTGACTGAACTAGTCCAGTTCCTGTACAGTTTACTAAATCCTCAGGTGACTGAACTAGTCCAGTTCCTGTACAGTTTACTAAATCCTCAGGTGACTGAACTAGTCCAGTTCCTGTACATTTGACTAAATCCTCAGGTGACTGAACTAGTCCAGTTCCTGTACAGTTTACTAAATCCTCAGGTGACTGAACTAGTCCAGTTCCTGTACATTTGACTAAATCCTCAGGTGACTGAACTAGTCCAGTTCCTGTACAGTTTACTAAATCCTCAGGTGACTGAACTAGTCCAGTTCCTGTACATTTGACTAAATCCTCAGGTGACTGAACTAGTCCAGTTCCTGTACAGTTTACTAAATCCTCAGGTGACTGAACTAGTCCAGTTCCTGTAAATTTTACTAAATCCTCAGGTGACTGAACTAGTCCAGTTCCTGTACATTTGACTAAATCCTCAGGTGACTGAACTAGTCCAGTTCCTGTACAGTTTACTAAATCCTCAGGTGACTGAACTAGTCCAGTTCCTGTACAGTTTACTAAATCCTCAGGTAACTGAACTAGTCCAGTTCCTGTAAATTTTACTAAATCCTCAGGTAACTGAACTAGTCCAGTTCCTGTAAATTTTACTAAATCCTCAGGTGACTGAACTAGTCCAGTTCCTGTAAATTTTACTAAATCCTCAGGTAACTGAACTAGTCCAGTTCCTGTACAGTTTACTAAATCCTCAGGTGACTGAACTAGTCCAGTTCCTGTAAATTTTACTAAATCCTCAGGTGACTGAACTAGTCCAGTTCCTGTACATTTGACTAAATCCTCAGGTTACTGAACTAGTCCAGTTCCTGTACAGTTTACTAAATCCTCAGGTGACTGAACTAGTCCAGTTCCTGTAAATTTTACTAAATCCTCAGGTGACTGAACTAGTCCAGTTCCTGTACATTTGACTAAATCCTCAGGTTACTGAACTAGTCCAGTTCCTGTACAGTTTACTAAATCCTCAGGTGACTGAACTAGTCCAGTTCCTGTACATTTGACTAAATCCTCAGGTGACTGAACTAGTCCAGTTCCTGTACAGTTTACTAAATCCTCAGGTGACTGAACTAGTCCAGTTCCTGTACATTTGACTAAATCCTCAGGTTACTGAACTAGTCCAGTTCCTGTACATTCTGGCCGTGGTCTGGATCAGCTACACCATCACATCTGAGGCCATCTTGTACCCCAACTCCCAGCTCAACCGATACATGATCTTCTACCTGTTGCGTAAAGCTTACTGGCAGATGTTTGGGGAACTTTTTCTGGACGAGATTGAAGCTGAAGGTAGAGTGGGGGAGGGGGAGTTGTCGCTCTGCCGCATAGTTCGGTGGTCCAGTCATTTAGCGTTAGTTGGGGCGAGGTGTGGTCCAGTCATTTAGCGTTAGTTGGGGCGAGGTGTGGTCCAGTCATTTAGCGTTAGTTGGGGCGAGGTGTGGTCCAGTCATTTAGCGTTAGTTGGGGCGAGGTGTGGTCCAGTCATTTAGCGTTAGTTGGGGCGAGGTGTGGTCCAGTCATTTAGCGTTAGTTGGGGCGAGGTGTGGTCCAGTCATTTAGCGTTAGTTGGGGCGAGGTGTGGTCCAGTCATTTAGCGTTAGTTGGGGCGAGGTGTGGTCCAGTCATTTAGCGTTAGTTGGGGCGAGGTGTGGTCCAGTCATTTAGCGTTAGTTGGGGCGAGGTGTGGTCCAGTCATTTAGAGTTAGTTGGGGCGAGGTGTGGTCCAGTCATTTTGCGTTAGTTGGGGCGAGGTGTGGTCCAGTCATTTAGCGTTAGTTGGGGCGAGGTGTGGTCCAGTCATTTAGCGTTAGTTGGGGCGAGGTGTGGTCCAGTCATTTAGCGTTAGTTGGGGCGAGGTGTGGTCCAGTCATTTAGCGTTAGTTGGGGCGAGGTGTGGTCCAGTCATTTAGCGTTAGTTGGGGCGAGGTGTGGTCCAGTCATTTAGCGTTAGTTGGGGCGAGGTGTGGTCCAGTCATTTAGCGTTAGTTGGGGCGAGGTGTGGTCCAGTCATTTAGCGTTAGTTGGGGCGAGGTGTGGTCCAGTCATTTAGCGTTAGTTGGGGCGAGGTGTGGTCCAGTCATTTAGCGTTAGTTGGGGCGAGGTGTGGTCCAGTCATTTAGCGTTAGTTGGGGCGAGGTGTGGTCCAGTCATTTAGAGTTAGTTGGGGCGAGGTGTGGTCCAGTCATTTTGCGTTAGTTGGGGCGAGGTGTGGTCCAGTCATTTAGCGTTAGTTGGGGCGAGGTGTGGTCCAGTTATTTAGCGTTAGTTGGGGCGAGGTGTGGTCCAGTCATTTAGCGTTAGTTGGGGCGAGGTGTGGTCCAGTCATTTAGCGTTGGTTGGGGCGAGGTGTGGTCCAGTCATTTAGCGTTAGTTGGGGCAAGATGTGGTCCAGTGTTTTAGGGTATTTGGACAAAAGATATTTTGTAAAAAAAAACTACTTAGACATATGACACATGCATTATTAACATTATCTGTCACACTGACAGAATCCGGGGAAGGACTGAGTGACCTGGAGTGCACCACCGACCCGAACTTGTACTACACCTACAGGAAGCTGAGATGTCCATCCACCATCGGCCGCTACATCGCCCCAGTGATGCTGGGGATCTACATCATGCTGACAAATGTCTTGCTCTTCAACGTCATCACAGCCAACTTTACGTGAGTTCACGGTTTATTATCACTAGTGAGATCTGAACCAACGTATTCAATCTAGGCTACGATCACAATATCTATATATGTATATATATATATATATATATATATATATATATATATATATATATATATATATATATATATATATATATATATATATATATATATATATATATATATATATATATATATATATATATATATATATATATATATATATATATATATATATGTATATATATATATATATATATATATATATATATATATATATATATATATATATATATATATATATATATATATATATATTTATACATATATATATATATATATATATATATATATATATATATATATATATATATATATATATATATATATATATATACGTATATATATATATATAATTATATTATATATTTAAATATATAAAATTACCATTGATATAATTCTAACTTACATTGGTTGGGCCTTATGGTATGTACGAAATTGATTCATATAAATTCTAGCTACCCGTTGGAATGGACTTTATATTACTAAAAGCAGACATCCATAAAGTATAGATTTGCATATGATAACGTATTGTTGGGCCAATAAAAAGAAATAAACAGCAGCTCTTCAAATTACAAAGGAACTTGTTATTTAGTTTTTTTAACATCATTTTAGTACGCCACTTTTGTGAATTTGTTGCTCTATTGGTTTTATTATACACTCCCCTACCTTTAATTAGAATTTAAATTCGTCTTTTTAAAATGTTAAAACATATTTCATGTAATTTATACCATCAACAATGATGGTTGGGCATGGTAGTTTATACTTGGTCCATTGTTTTTTAAAGTGATTCAAAAGACTTACTTTGGCAATCATAAAAACAAGGGGCAAATTAAGAAAAAAAAATATTTGGTAATTTATTTACTACAGCTCACTTTGTAGTTTAAACATTTTCACTTTATACTATTCGTTTTTTTTTTGTTCTCAAATTAAATCAACGAATAAGGTTTCAAATTCTTTCCCCAGGAAAGGCATCGAGCGTATACAGGCTGAGTCCAACTTGATCTGGAGGCTGCAAGTTCTGGACCTGACCATCAACTATTCCCAAGTCTTGCTCCTCCCTCCCCCCTTCACCTTCATGTCCATCTTCGCTCGTGTATTCGAGAAGTCTTGCGGTCTAAATTTGTGTAAGTAACCAAATAGTTCTCACCGCCAAAAGCCGTAAAGATTTTTGTAAGTAATCATTTTTTTTATTGTATGTAGGGTGGATTTCCTATCGCACAATTAAGTATGATATATCAACTCCGAATTCAGCCTGCTATTGATTTGCTTCCATAATGTTAAACTCCCTAGAACAATCTCTAAGGCAGCGGTTGCTTGATGTTTTAAGTTTTCTATCCTAGACGTTGATATCCAAGCCAACGAGCCTCACCTGCCGGGGAAGGAAGGGGGAGAGGGAGGGGGCAGGAGGGGTGGGGGGGGGGGGGGGTCCGAACTCGAAAGTTTCAAAGTTGGCAATCATTCACTCTCAAGCCTGACCACGTCGTCTACCAGTAATCAAACACAACTCTCCGCCAAAAGCCGAGAAGATATAATTAACACATTTTGCCTAATCCAAATATTATATTGTAAACTTTTTCAGTGCTCTTCATTTTTAGAAAACATGAAATTAAAAAAAAAAGTAAATTACCTTTTCCGAACCTCACGGTCCATGGGAAAAGAGTTAACATGTTTCTTTAACATCAGTATCTGAACGAATAGTTTGGTCAGTACTATGCCCAGCCGCCTTTACTATTTCGTAATATGAGTTAGGTACCCATCAGAGCTGGGTGGACTCAGGGACGTCCACTGAACTGAGCCCGGATTCGAACTCGTGACTTTCGGGGTAGAAGTCTAGCGATCTGCCACTTGGCAACGCAGTCCCATGTTTTTAAAATACTAACTATTATTTTGGTGATGAAATACATTTTCTGGATGAAGCATTTTGTGTACGTTTTTTTCTCACCAGTTCCAGAATATACAAACTCAAGGATGAGGGCTAGGATGAACGACTTGGAGCATTTGGTCATACAAAAGAAAATTGAGCCTTTGATACTCAATCCAAACGATCAGACAGGCCCTAAAGACAAGTTAGCTGTTTTGTTTTTCATTGGGAACAAAATTTATTAAAATACTAAGAGGGCGATTTTTAAATAAAGTACCAATAATACAATACAAAGGTAAACATTGACCCTCAAGGACGGACGGCAGATAAAGTAGAGTTCACCTTTTGACATGAATGTGTCCATTCGGGCATTTGTAGCATTCGGCAAAGTTTCCGGGCTTTTTTTGCATTTTGGGACATAGTATACCACAAGCCAGTGGAAAAAAATGAGTTAAAATAATACCTTCTAGAGCTAAAGAGGCGATGATATGATAACGTCTTGAGCTAGAAATATGATGCGTATAATTTCTTAACTGTTTTAGTGGTAGATTGGAGATCGTAGAATAAATTAATATCTACTAGATATCTTATCGGAAATTTTAAAATATTATTTCAGTGTGAATGAAAATCTTTCAAAATCGACGTTATCTTCACGCTCGCAAGGTGATATAGTTATATATATATATATATATATATATATATATATATATATATATATATATATATATATATATATATATATATATATATATTACATGATTATTCTTTTTAAAAATTAAAACGATAACATATTACATGATATTTAGTTTGTTAGGGTAGCAAACAATAATAAATTTGCATCGTTTAATAAATCGAGTGCCATTGTTGATTCTTATCGAAATTCTAAGGTCAAATGTCTAGTGAGTTTTTTTAAAGCCAATAGGAAATATTTGTGTATGCTTTTAATCCAGGTTTGAACAAAAACAAGTGGTCCAGTATAGAAGGATATACATGCAACTTATGGGTAGGTTGAAAATTATATGTTGTCTGTTTGTGTATCACAAAAAGAAAATAACAATTGTTCGTGAAATAATGGATACAGTTGAGTATGTTCAACTAATAGCGAGATATAACATCAGGCCAGCCGAAACTAGCTTTGCAAGAAACTTTGTAAAACATTCAATGGTAAAGGTATCTTCTAGTCAAGTGATTACTTTTCACCGTTGCTATTTTAATCCGTGCACATTATAAACTATGATCTATATTCCAAAAAAGCCCAATAGTTTATATATATATATATATATATATATATATATATATATATATATATATATATATATATATATATATATATAAGTACGTATATATGTTTGTATTTTATAAACCTAATATACATATATTATATATATAGGCTATATATATATATATATATATATATATATATATATATATATATATACACATATATATATATATATATATATATATATATATATATATATATATATATATATATATATATATACATACATACATATATATATATATATATATATATATATATATATATATACATACATATATATATATATATATATATATATATATATATATATATATATATATATGTATGTATGTATATATATGTATGTATATATATATATGTAAATCTTGCTGTACATCTCCAGATACCATTGTACAAGCACATACCCATCAGTAAAACAATCCAAGTAACAACAGAAACCAGACTAGATCCAGAGCCAGAGTAAGTTAATCAAAAGCTCTACAAATGCTTTATTCGACCAGAAACTAATACATGTGCTATCTTTTTATAATTATGAAGAGCAGCCTTTAGGATTTTCGTTACAGGAAATTTTCGATTAACAAATATAAATGTGTCACTTTAAAAAATGTGCCAAGTAAAATATACTTAGGCACGCATGAAGGTTGTTTGTTAGAAAACTAAAATACAGCTTAAAAACTAATCCGTGTTTAAGAATTTTTCTGTGATAGTTGTTATCTTTATGTAAGTATATGTATGTGTATAAAAGTTTTTTTTTAATTTCCTAAGCAAGCAAAACCCGTACCTGTTGAAAAAAGCGTCATTAAAATTTAATGAGTACGACAAATATTACAAAACTGACCGACGCAGTTACATGGGAAAATATGATGTTGTGGATGGCTATCCCATAATTCCAGTCCGAAACCAAGGTTATGTCAGTTTTAAGAAGAATTTTAGCAGGTGGGGACCGAACCATTTTGGAATTCCCATAATCACCAGGTAAGATGTTGTTTAACCAGTTTAAGAATAAATACACTTTTTTAGTATCAGGAACAATATTGCCATGTATTCATCGCTATTGCTGAAAACATTATTAATGTTAGGCTTATGGTAACAATTAAATTAGAGGCTTAGCACAAAAGTTCAGTGATATTATATATTTTAATTACTTACACACGACTAAGAGAAATATTAATATTTTATATGATGGACCTAGTTTTGCTTCAATGACAATTTGTGATTTTGTTTTTGATATTTTAATTTCAAGCATTGTTTTATATTTTTATTTGTAATCGGTTTCTTTCAAGCATCTCTTAGTTGAGGTGGGGGGGGGTATTATTCTAATACGTTATATTACGTCCATAAGTACAACACATTGGTATAAAATAATACAACTAGCAAAACAAACAGCTAGTTTTAGTAAAAAGTAAAAAGGTGTGAGGTGTACAACATGTTAAACTTCAATTAATTTTTTTTTGACAGATTCAAAATCGTCAACAGTCACATCACTGTCATAGATGACGCTTTTGACTTGGAGTTTTTGGTGGAAAATATCAAAGAAGATTCCAAAGATGGGATAGTTGTACGTTTTCCTATGGTAAGATTTCCGTTTTTAATTCTTTTATTTGACCGTCATATATCAAGAGAAAAAAAAATGATTCGCTATTTAAAAATTTAAATTATAATCTCACGCCTTTTATTAAGCGAAGATGCAGTGTGTTAGTAGTAGTTTGTATAGATGCTGCTCAAACATCAATACAAACGGACAGTTAATAACACGTCTACTGTATTAGCTACTACACACGGGGTTGTGTATAAGCAAGACCGAGGGTAACAGTGATTCTACCATAAACCTTCACCTAAGGGGTCGTCCATAAATGACGTCACACTCATAAGGGGGAGGGGGGGGTCCGTAGTTTTGTAGAGGTGTGTGATGAAGGGAAAGGGGGTTAAGAAGTGACACTTTTGCATTATAAAAAAGCAATTTTAGAAAACGAATTTTAGACGTTATTTCGCGTTTTAGAAAACTGTTTTAATAAATGGTAATAGGAATTGATTAAAATACTCTACGTTGACAGAGTTCAGACAAGATTTTGGAAAAATATCGATGTTTTAAAAAAATCAACTGCAATTTTGAGTAGAGTTGTAGGCTGAAGTATGACGTCATTTTAGGGGGGGGGGTCTGGCTTTTTGTGACGATGTGTGACGAAGGGGAGAGGTAAAAATCGTCAAAAAGAGCGTGACGTCATTTATGGATGACCCCCTAAGCCGTCTGTCTCTAAATCCGATCGTCGTTGTCTGTGATGCTGTTATACGAGTTTGTATCTGTGATGCTGTTATACGAGTTTGTGTCTGTGATGCTGTTATACGAGTTTGTGTCTGTGATGCTGTTATACGAGTTTGTGTATGTGATGCTGTTATACGAGTTTGTGTCTGTGATGCTGTTATACGAGTTTGTATCTGTGATGCTGTTATACGAGTTTGTGTATGTGATGCTGTTATACGAGTTTGTGTCTGTGATGCTGTTATACGAGTTTGTATCTGTGATGCTGTTATACGAGTTTGTGTCTGTGATGCTGTTATACGAGTTTGTATCTGTGATGCTGTTATACGAGTTTGTGCCTGTGATGCTGTTATACGAGTTTGTGTCTGTGATGCTGTTATACGAGTTTGTGTCTGTGATGCTGTTATACGAGTTTGTGTATGTGATGCTGTTATACGAGTTTGTGTCTGTAATGCTGTTATACGAGTTTGTGTCTGTGATGCTGTTATACGAGTTTGTGTCTGTGATGCTGTTATACGAGTTTGTGTCTGTAATGCTGTTATACGAGTTTGTGTCTGTGATGCTGTTATACGAGTTTGTGTATGTGATGCTGTTATACGAGTTTGTGTCTGTAATGCTGTTATACGAGTTTGTGTCTGTGATGCTGTTATACGAGTTTGTGTATGTGATGCTGTTATACGAGTTTGTGTCTGTAATGCTGTTATACGAGTTTGTGTCTGTGATCTGGTTATACGAGTTTGTGTCTGTGATGCTGTTATACGAGTTTGTGCCTGTGATGCTGTTATACGAGTTTTTGTCTGTGATGCTGTTATACGAGTTTGTGCCTGTGATGCTGTTATACGAGTTTTTGTCTGTGATGCTGTTATACGAGTTTGTGTCTGTGATGCTGTTATACGAGTTTTTGTCTGTAATGCTGTTATACGAGTTTGTGTCTGTGATGCTGTTATACGAGTTTGTGTCTGTGATGCTGTTATACGAGTTTGTGTCTGTAATGCTGTTATACGAGTTTGTGTCTGTGATCTGGTTATACGAGTTTGTGTCTGTAATGCTGTTATACGAGTTTGTGTATGTGATGCTGTTATACGAGTTTGTATCTGTGATGCTGTTATACGAGTTTGTGTCTGTGATGCTGTTATACGAGTTTGTGTCTGTGATGCTGTTATACGAGTTTGTGTCTGTGATGCTGTTATACGAGTTTTTGTCTGTGATGCTGTTATACGAGTTTGTGTATGTGATGCTGTTATACGAGTTTGTGTCTGTAATGCTGTTATACGAGTTTGTGTCTGTGATGCTGTTATACGAGTTTGTGTATGTGATGCTGTTATACGAGTTTGTATCTGTGATGCTGTTATACGAGTTTGTGTCTGTGATCTGGTTATACGAGTTTGTGTCTGTGATGCTGTTATACGAGTTTGTGTCTGTGATGCTGTTATACGAGTTTGTGCCTGTGATGCTGTTATACGAGTTTGTGTCTGTGATGCTGTTATACGAGTTTGTGTCTGTGATGCTGTTATACGAGTTTGTGTCTGTGATGCTGTTATACGAGTTTGTGTCTGTGATGCTGTTATACGAGTTTGTGTCTGTGATGCTGTTATACGAGTTTGTATCTGTGATGCTGTTATACGAGTTTGTGTCTGTGATCTGGTTATACGAGTTTGTGTCTGTGATCTGGTTATACGAGTTTGTGTCTGTGATGCTGTTATACGAGTTTGTGCCTGTGATGCTGTTATACGAGTTTGTGTCTGTGATGCTGTTATACGAGTTTGTGTCTGTGATGCTGTTATACGAGTTTGTGTCTGTGATGCTGTTATACGAGTTTTTGTCTGTGATGCTGTTATACGAGTTTGTGTCTGTGATGCTGTTATACGAGTTTGTGTATGTGATGCTGTTATACGAGTTTGTGTCTGTAATGCTGTTATACGAGTTTGTGTCTGTGATGCTGTTATACGAGTTTGTGTATGTGATGCTGTTATACGAGTTTGTATCTGTGATGCTGTTATACGAGTTTGTGTCTGTGATGCTGTTATACGAGTTTGTATCTGTGATGCTGTTATACGAGTTTGTGTCTGTAATGCTGTTATACGAGTTTGTGTCTGTGATGCTGTTATACGAGTTTGTGTATGTGATGCTGTTATACGAGTTTGTATCTGTGATGCTGTTATACGAGTTTGTGTCTGTGATCTGGTTATACGAGTTTGTGTCTGTG